AGAACCCTACTGTTTTCCTTTCCACTGACAAAGCCTGTCCCACCCATAGTTGTCTGCGATGAAGACCCCCGGGCCCTCCAGCAAGCCACCCTCCATATTGTGGGTATGACAGATGGGGAAAGAGGAGCTCCTGGACAAAATACCCCCTGGACTGGCCAGTTGGGCAAAACTTCCTCTGAGCGGGTCAGGTTCTTGGGGGAATACTTACCCTGATGTCTCCAAGTGACACCCTTTATATTCTGTTCCCCCCCCAACTTTATGCACTCTGGAGGTTGCAGTGGGAAAGCTATAACTGATAAGAGCCCTTCAGGCAGTGGTTTTGGTTGGAGTCCAGACTGATTATTTCAGGACCAGCTAGAGAAATTCGCGAAGGTTCCTGTGACAAATAAGAGGATTTTTTTTTTTTAAGGGGTAATTTAGAGGGTGGGGGAAACCCAGAGTTCTGGGCAGCTAGTCCTTGGGGAGGGAGGAAAGTAGGGGGTTAGGGGGTGGTAGTGTGGAACACAGTTTAAAAGTCCTGTCTACTGTTTCTCTTTCTGCCTCCTCCCCATCCCCCCACCGTTTCCCCCTGTTGCAGGGTTTTGTTTATATAACTCAAGTTGTTTGGCTAAATTCTTCAGGTGATTTCCTTTTCTCTTCCTTTATATTTGCTGCTGTTTTTGATTGAGTGTTTTACCTCTTTGTAGTGGTCAGTGATTATTAAAAAAATTCAGTTAGGGAATTTGCTGAAGTTTTAAAAAAAGTAGTTTTTGCATAGGGTTTGGCAGTGGGGGATGGGAGGGAAGTTGTCTGGGCAAGAGATTTTTTAAATAATCTTTTCAGAAATAAGGTGTTTTTCTCTTTGCTCAGGGAGAACTTGGCTAGAAATTAGGAGCACTAGGAAGACTTCTAAGTTTGTGGTTTGGAGTTTAGAATTTTTTTGGGTGGGGGGTGGGAGATTAGATCGGAGCAGCTTGTATAGTGTACCCACTATATGTTCCGGCGCGAGTGAAATCAACTCTTTATGAGCAGTTTGTGGCTGCAATTGTTTTGTAAATGTGTGAATGATACCAGTAATGTTGGCTTTTCATAAGGCTGCAGGAAAACTTGTAACTATGATTGTGTGTACATTTTACACAAAGCAGTTTCAGGTTTTATTTTTGTTTAGAAACTAGGAAATGACATGGTGGCAGAACCTGAGTTATTTTTATCTTGAATTGAGAGTTTCTGTCACACCTAATGCAAATTTCTACCTAATGTTTAATTGGGTTGGAGTGGGGAGAGAGAATTCCAGCTGTTTGTGATCGTTGTCAGAGTCTCAAATTATGTACAAAGACATATTTTTTAAAGATTGAGGATAAAGAGGGGGGCCTAACTTGACCTGATGCCTTTTCCATACCGTGCCTTTTGTTCATTTAGTAGTTGTGGCATCTAGAATGATTACCGCATTTAGGAGTCGGGGTGTGAGGGGTGGAGAGGGAGAGGAAAACAGACAAAGAACAGCAGGGTGTCTTTTTTTTTTTCTCCCCCTAAGTGGCTTATTTCATAGCTTATTTTTAGTAGAAGATGAAGAAAGGAGGCAAAGATGTATTGGCCTTCTGTTCTTTCCCCACCTTCCTTCCTTTCTGACAAAAGAAAGCAGAGGCGCTTTAAAATTGTAGATCTCTGAGATAGGAGGATAACAGTCTCGAGATTTAAAAGCCAGAGGTTATCTTTGTTTCACGTTTATTTTCTGGTATAACGGAGTTTGGAAGTTAAAATTTTCGGATTTCCTTTTGTGTATGTGTTGTGTAGGTGAGAGATTTTGTGTCCTCCTTTCTCTGTTGAATTCACAAATCAGTAGGCCCAAATGGAGCCAACAATTTTTGAGTAAGGTATATTTAGCAGAAAATTTAAGGAAAAATTCCCCAGCCCTCTACTAAAATGAGTACAATTGGTCTGAAAAGGCTGGGGGTTGAGAAAGATGGAGGAGAGGAAGTGGGAAGAAAAGGTCTGAAGGAATGCACTTTTTGCCCCCCGTGCCCCTTGATGATTTCTTTGGTGTTGGGGGGTGATAGCTGGTTTCCTTGCAGTCTCCTGTTTCAGCCCATTTTTGGATGTCTCCTGAGCGTAATTATACCACCACGATTTACAGCCTGGCAGGGAACCTATATAGTAGGAAAGTAGCAGTGTGGGGGTAGGGAGAGAAGAGGATGTGTAACTAATTGGCCGCTGCCTGCCACCTCCTCGCTCCGTTCTTATGGAGACACCGTCTCTGGTTGTTGTTTGGAGTCAGTGATATTTCTTTTGTGACCGGTTGGTAGGAGGAGAGCTGACTCCCAAGTTATGCAGGGAGTGAGTGTTTTGCACCAATGCACTTAATAATCTGCTGGATGATTATGTTCTGAAACTCTGACTCATTCATTGTTTCTCTTCTGATCCTTTGCTTAAGGTTGTGCAAACCTCCCCAGGAGCCTAGAAACTGATTTACATGACTTTTGGATCCTTTAGGAATGTGCCCCAATAAAAAAAAAAAAAAACCTTGCAGTTAGCCCAGATCCTATGGAATGGTCTCGAATGGTGCGGCCATTTGTTTGCAAAGTCAGGTAGATTGGTGATCTGTGCTGCCCAGAGCCTGGCAACCTTTGAGGTTTCCACCTCCAACCAGCTGATTATTTAGATTGTCTGAGAACTGGGACTCTGGTGACCTTAAAGCGTGATTTGCCCTAAAGGAATATCGGTTTAAGTTCTCCCTGGTGGAGGAACAAACAGCTCAGATTACACGGGTTTCCTTGTTGGTGGGGGTTATTCGTCTCACCCTGTTGCACAGCCCTGGTGATCCTTTTATCTGTGAACCAGTGGCCCCTGCTGAAGGCTAGAGCTGCTTGTTTTGGAAAAGCGTTTGCAGGCAAAAGGCCGCAGGCACCGCTCCTTATCGCTCATTGGTTGCTCTGTTACTACCCGGAAAAGGAGGAGGGGAGGAGCTACCAAACAGCTGATGGAGTGTGTGACAAGAGAGTGTGTTTATATACAGAAGAGGTGGGGGCTGAGGAGGCCCTGTGAGGGGTGTTACAGGAACAGGAGTGTTTTCGAGGGGTAAAAAGGTAAGAGGAAAACCCGACTTGTTAGAATACAAGAAATGTTTAGAAAAATTAAGGTTGGCTGGGTGCGGTGGCTCACGCCTGTAATCCTAGCACTTTGGGAGGCCGAGGTGGGTGGGTCACCTGAGGTCAGGAGTTCAAGACCAGCCTCGCCATCATTGGTGAAACCCCGTCTTGGGGGAAAAAAAAAAAAAAAAAAAAAAGAAAAATTACAGTTAAATCAGAAAAGTGGATCTGATAATAATGGGGGCCAGCCTACACCATAGTGTACGATTTTGTAGCTTATAATACCAAGAGTTTTCAATGATTCTTTTCAGAGGGAGTGCAGGATACACCCCTTTATTTTTAAAATTTTTTTGTAGAGACCAAGGTCTGACTAGGTTGCCCAGGCTGGCCTCCAACTCCTGGCTTCAAATGTTCCTCTCACCTTGGCCTCCAGAGTGCTGGAATTGCAGGTGTGAGCCCAGAGCACCTGGCCTAGGGTATGCAACTTTAAATGCACTTAAATGACTCATATGCAGGGATTCAAAAATATGGCAGAGATGTCATCTTCCCTCAAGAAAGTGTCAAAAGTGATAGAAAGGGGCAGTGTCTTACACTAAATTCATTAACAGCCTGAGTGAATTTTATGGAATTGTTGGTGTCTGCTTTAGGGTTTCAGAAGCTTTCTGTAACAAATTCAAAACCTCAGATGTGGCGGAGTGTGGTGACTCACACCTGTAATCCCAGCATTTTGGGAAACTGAGGCAGGAGGCTCACTTAAGTTTAGGAGTTTGAGGGTCCAGTGAGCTAAGATCATGACACTGCAGTCATGCCTGGGCAAAAGAGCAAGACTCTCTCAATTAAAAAAAAAAAAAAAAAAAAAAAGCCTGACACAGTGGCTCACACCTGTAATCCCAGCACTTTGGGAGGCTGAGGTGGGCAGATCACCTGAGGTCAGGAGTTGGAAACAAGCCTAGCCAACACGGCGAAACCCCATCTGTATGAAGAATATAAAAAATTAGCCAGTTATGGTGGTGTGGGCTTGTAGTCTCAGCTACTCAGGAGGCTGAGTCACGAGAATCGCTTGAACCTGGGAGGTGGGGGTTGTGGTGAGCCGAAATTGTGCCACTGCATTCCAGCCTGGGTGACAGAGCAAGACTGTCTCAAAAAAAAAAAAAAAAAAAAAAATCCTCATATGTTTGGGTACCTGCTTTGTGCCAGGCATGGTGCTGGGAGTTTGGTAGTGAAAAATTCAGTATGGTTGGTCATGGTGCTTATACAATTAGTGAAAACATTTTTTTTTTTAATTTAGAAAGGACAGGCTATATTTGCTGTGTATAGTGCCTTTTTGAGTAACTTGTATTTACTCTTAGAGTGGACTTTTCACGGAATAGAAAGGTTAAAAAGTGAATTTTGTGTGATAGGATGTATATGGGGATCTGTACACCTGTTTAAAAAAATACTGCAAAACTAAAATATTAAAATGTGTCGCCATTTGTCTTTGACTTAACTTTGGTATTTTGCTGTTAATCAGTAGTTATTTTATCCCTTAGTAGTCTTTGTTATTCTTTAATTTGTGTTCCAAGTGTAGACAATTCCATAATCTTTTAACTAGCTCCGGTGTCAATTGGGAACCTGTGGTTTGCCTCTTTATTTCCTGTGGTCTCTGTTTTAGTGAGATGAGATGAAAGTTGGCACAGCTTTATGGTCTTCAAGCTAAAAGTTAAAAATTTGGCAACTCCCAGTGTTCTGAATTTGTCTTCCCTGCCTAGATTTTGGTGACAAATATAACATACTGGTACTTATTTTGGTTAACCAGGAACCTATATGAGTAAGCATTCACAGCTTTAGAACATCTGATTCCTGCAGTGCAGTTCTAGTAAATTACACGCAAGCCTCAAAATTCAGCTTTTTGGGGAAAAAATATTTTACAGATGTGACCCATAAAAGTCCCTTCTGTATTTGTGTATGTGTTAGAAAACCTAGATTTGTTAGTTTTTCTAGCGTTGCGATTTTCTTACCCCTTGACCTGCATTTTATAGATATATTTAAAATTTGGTATCCTCTTCAGTCTTGACAGATTCGATGGTTCCAAGAATCATTGGATTTTTAGGCATGTAATCCAGCCCTTATGTTGCATTATAATGTTTGTAATGTAATAGCTTTTTGCCTGTAGACCTACAGAGTGTACCTGGTAGTAAAATACTTAAGAACTTAGCTGGATTTTAAAAGTAATATGATAATTGAGGTTAATACAGATTGTAGGAAGGAAAACCAGTCACCTGTAATGCTATTCTTTAAACAGTAGTTTTCAAAGTTTAGTGTAATATTAATCACCTGGAGAGTTTGTTAAAACAGGTTATTGCATCATACTCCTGGAGTTTTCTAATTGATTGGGTCTAGGGTGGGGTCTAAGACATTTCCAGATGATCCCCCGGTCCTGGGACCACTGTTTAAGAACTGTCAAGGCCGGGCACGGTGGCTCAAGCCTGTAATCCCAGCACTTTGGGAGGCCGAGGCGGGTGGATCACGAGGTCAAGAGATCGAGACCATCCTGGTCAACATGGTGAAACCCCGTCTCTACTAAAAATACAAAAAATTAGCTGGGCATGGTGGCGCGTGCCTGTAATCCCAGCTACTCAGGAGGCTGAGGCAGGAGAATTGCCTGAACCCAGGAGGCGGAGGTTGTGGTGAGCCGAGATCGTGCCATTGCACTCCAGCCTGGGTAACATGAGTGAAACTCCGTCTCACAAAAAAAAAAAAAAAAAAAAAAAAAAAAGAACTGTTGGCCTTAAATGCTAACCTATGGCTTTTTTCCTGTCTTTTATTCTCCCCAGGATACATCGTTTTCCGCCTGTTGAATATATCATGTGTCTGCTTTCTTTTGGCTTAATATTTTGCAACTGTTTTTCCAAGTTAAAAATAATAGGCTGGATGCGGTGTCTCATGCCTGTAATCTCAGCACTTTGGGAGGCTGAGGCAGGCAGATTACCTGAGGTTGGGAGTTTGAGATCAGCCTGACTAACATGGAGAAACCCTGTCTCTACTAAAAAATACAAAATTAGCCAGGCATGGTAGCACATGCCTGTAATCCCAGGTACTTGGGAGATTGAGGCAGGAGAATTAATTTGTTTGAACCTGGGAGGTGGAGCTTGCGGTGAGCGGAGATTGTGCCATTGCATTCCAGCCTGGGCAACAAGAGTGAAACTCCGTGTCAAAATAAATAATAAATAGCTCATGTAACATGCCATCCCATGGCTGTGTCATTTATTTAATTCTTTGCCATTTTTCTCTGATGAATAAGATTGAAATTAACATTTTTGTACATAGGCTTTTCTTTGGGTTATTTCTGTTTTCCCAAAATGGGATTCTGGATCAAAGAAGGTAAACATTTGAATTAAAATATTTAATTAAAAATCTCAGAGCCCTACACTCAGTGGGTTGTTCTGTTGTGTTTTAGTTGTTATTGTTTTGGCACTGAAATGGCCTGGCATAGTGATTAAAGATGAGTTCTAATTTCCTCTTTGTTTAAACCTTTTTTTTGTGATAATGGTGATCCTCAATTTAGGCATACTTTTGTATTCTCAAGAGTGTCTACCACAAGTCTTTAGGTTAAATATATTCCTGAGCAGATAGATCTGACTAACAAGAGCTGTAGAATTAGTTTTGGTATCTTGAATTTTTTTTTCTTTTGTTTATTGAGGTATAATTGATGTACGATTAACTGTGCTTTTTAAAATTTACGTACAATTAACTGTACTTTTTTTTTTTTTTTCTTTTTTGAGACGGAGTTTCGCTCTTGTTACCCAGGCTGGAGTGCAATGGCGCGATCTCGGCTCACCGCAACCTCTGCCTCCTGGGTTCAGGCAATTCTCCTGCCTCAGCCTCCTGAGTAGCTGGGATTACAGGCACGCACCACCATGCCCAGCTAATTTTTTGTATTTTTAGTAGAGACGGGGTTTCACCATGTTGACCAGGATGGTCCCGATCTCTTGACCTCGTGATCCACCCGCCTCGGCCTCCCAAAGTGCTGGGATTACAGGCTTGAGCCACCACGCCCGGCCCAACTGTACTTTTTAAAAGTGATATATTTGATAAGTTTTAATGTTATGTATCACCCATGAAGCTTATCCTTATCAAGGTAGGAGACATATTTATCTTCCCCCAAAGTTCTGTGTGCCCCTTTGTAATCTTTCTCTCCCTTCCCTCCAACCATTGATCTCATTTCTGTCACTGTAGATGGTTATATTTTCTAGAATTGTATATATAAGTGGAATCATTCAGTATACACTCTTTTTGTGTGGGTTCTTTAACTCATAATTGTGACATTCACCCATGTGATCATTTAGTTCATTTTTTTTTTATTGCTAAGTAGTATTCTGTTATATAGATAAACTACTGTTTATGCATTTACCTCTTAATGCCTGGTGGCATTTGGGTTATTTCCAGTTTTGGGCTATTACAAGCAAAGTTGCTGTGAACATTGTATGGACATATGCCTTTTCTTCTTTTGGCTAAGCTCGATCATGTGGTAGCTTTTCGTGTGTGTGTGTGTGTGTGTGTGTGTGTGTGTGTGTTTTCAGACAGGGTTTCACCCTATTGTCCAGACAGAAGTTCATGGTGTGATCTTGGCTCACTGCAGCCTTGGCCACCATGCCTGGCTAATTTTATTTTTTGTAGAGATGAGGTCTCACTGTTGGCCAGGCTGGGCTCAAATTCCAGAGTTTAAGTGATCCCCTGACCTCAGCCTCCCAAAGTGCTGGGTTTACAGACATAAGCCGCTGTGCCTAGCCATATTTAACAGGTAGTTTGAATTTAATATTTACTGATGATGATCCGTATTTCACACACAAGTACGATTGTGACAACTGTTGTTTCACTTGTGTTTGTGTATTTTTTTTTTTTTTTTTTGAGATGGAGTTTTGCTCTGTCCCCAGGCTGGAGTGCAATGGTGCTATCTCAGCTCACTCCAACCTCCACCTCCCAGGTTCAAGCAGTTCACCTGCCTCAGCCTCCTGAGCAGCTGGCATTACAGGCCCTTGCCCCCACACCCAGCTAATTTTTGTATTTTTAGTAGAGATGAGGTTTCACTATGTTAGTCAGGCTGGTCTCAAACTCCTGATCTTGTAATCTACCCTCCCAAAGCGCTGGGATTACAGGTATGAACCTCGAGCATGGCCTTGTGTATTTTTAAGGAAACATGTTAAATTACTGTACATGCTTTAAAGCACCGATTTCTTTTGTTATTAACTTTATAGTATATGAATTTTGTTGATCTTTTTTTTCTTATCAGTAAAATGAATTTTATCTTACCATGGTGATTGCAGTACCTTTCACTTGAATAATGATTTAAACACTTTACTTCCTGTTTTTGAGGCATAGTCTTGCTCTGTTGCCCAGACTGGAGGGCAGTGGCATAATCTCTGCTCACAGCAACCTCTGCCTCCTGGGTTCAAGTGATTCTCCTGCCTCTGTCTCCCAAGTAGCTGGGATTACAGGGGCCTTCTACCATACCTGACTAATTTTTGTATTTTTAGTTAGAGACAGGGCTTTGCCATACTGGCCAGGTTGGTCGTGAATTAGGTGAGCTGCCTACCTCTGCCTCCCAAAGTGCTGGGATTATAGGTGTGAGCCATGACCCTGGCCAATCTGTTTTTTTTTTTTTTCTTTTCGAGATGGAGTCTCCCTCTGTTGCCCAGGCTGGAGTGCAGTGGTGAGATTTCTACTCGCTGCAGCCTCTGCCTCCCAGTGCCTGGCGTAAATCACAGATTTGTAGCGGAATTTGGTCCAAGCTGATTTGGTAGCTTCTCTTTTCTTCCTACTTCCATTTGAAATTAGTGAATTAATTTTTTTTTTTTTTTGAGATGCAGTTTTATTCTTGTTGCCCAGGCTGGAGTGCAATGGCATGATCTCGGCTCACTGCAACCTCCATCTCCTGGGTTCAAGTGATTCTCCTGCCTCAGCCTCACGAGTAGCTGGGATTACAGACATGCGCCACCATGCTCGCCTAATTTTGTAGTTTTAGTAGAGACCGGATTTCTCCATTTTGGTCAGGCTGGTCTTGAACTCCCGACCTTGGGTGATCTGCTTGCCTCAGCCTTCCAAAGTGCTGGGATTACAGGCATGAGCCGCTGCCACCAGCCATGAATTAAATTGTTATTGTGAAATATTTTTGTTAGCCTGAGCAACATGGCAAAACCCTGTCTTTACCCAAAAAGACAGAAAAATTAGCCCAGTGTGTTGGTATGCACCTGTAATCTCAGCTACTCGGGAGGCTGAGGCAAAAGGATCACTTGAGCCCAGGTGGCCGAAGTTGTGGTGAGCTGAGATCACATCAGTACACTCCAGCCTGAGTGACAGGGCAAGGCCCTGTCTCAAAAAAAAATGTTTTGTGGCCCTTTGAAATTATAGTTTAGGAATCTGGCCGGGCGTCATGGCTCACGCCTGTAATCCCAGCACTTTGGGAGGCTGAGGCAGGCAGATCATCTGAGGTCAAGAGTTCAAGACCAACCTGGCCAACATGGTGAAACCTCATCTCTGCTAAAAATAAAAAATTAGCCGGGTGTGGTGGTGTATGACTACAATCCCAGCTAACTCAGGAGGCTGAGGCAGGAGAATCATTTGAACCCGGGAGACAGAGGTTGCAGTGAGCCAGGATTGCGCCATTACACTCTAGCCTGGGCAACAAGAATGAAACGCTGCCCCAAAAAAGAAAAAAAGTCTGTCGAGAGGCTGTTGCATTAGTGGTTCTCAGTTGGGTATGAAATTTGAAAAGAATTGGGGAGCCAGGTACTACGGTTATTTTAATTTCTCCTCTGCACTTCACCAGATGCTTGTGGAAAGTGTCTGGTTGTTTATAGGCTGGTGCTTGTGGGGGTATCTGCCAATGCCCAGTGGAACCCAAATCCTCAAGAGCCTAGGGAAGCTCCACATGGCAGCCGTATGCTTTTGAGGGATGAAGGATCTTTTTTTTTGCCTTTCCCTGCTTTGTAGGTATCTACGTTGTTAGGTAGGCAGCGTGAATGGTTGCTGCTGATCTTCTGACCTGTCCCTGCAGAGAAGTCAGGCAGCCCTTGTGAAGGGAGGAGTTTGGCTGGACTTTACCAATTCTCTGGAAGACATTGCCATTCTCTGGAAGACTGGCATGGCTGGCGGGTCTGTCAGTGGACTCACACAAGATGCCTGGCCTATGCACTTGGAGGATCCATATTTCATATATTAATTAATTGGAAATGGGATCTTTGTCTTTGGTTCAATCTCCTGGTTTCTAACTTAAACCATTTTTAGGGGAGCATTATATATGCAGGTAGGAGAATACATATGAAATTTCCCTACGTACGAAATCATGTTATTGTTGTGAATTATGCATTTTCTATTTAGTATTAGGCAAAACTTTTTTCATATATTAGGTTTTATCATGTATACTTTTTTTTTTTTTTTTTTTTTGAGATGGCGTTTCATTCATGTTACCCAGGCTGGAGTGCAATGGCGCGATCACGGCTCACCGCAACCTCCGCCTCCTGGGTTCAGGCAATTCTCCTGCCTCAGCCTCCTGAGTAGCTGGGATTACAGGCATGCACCACCATGCCCAGCTAATTTTTTGTATTTTTAGTAGAGACGGGGTTTCACCATGTTGACCAGGATGGTCTTGATCTCTTGACCTTGTGATCCACCCGCGTCGGCCTCCCAAAGTGCTGGGATTACAGGCTTGAGCCACCGCGCCTGGCCCTTATCATGTATACTTTTTAAAGTTTTTTTGGATTATAAAATCTTAGTTTGAGGTAATATAAATCGAAAACTAGATTCAGAGTATGTGCCTGGTTTGTGTTACCTCAGAAGCAGTTGGGCCGTCAAGCCTAGTGAAAAGTAAATTTAGTTGTTTTGTCCAAAGGGTGCCAGTGTAACTTTGGTGATCTGGATTTTGCTTTTCAATTTGATGACTGTATTGCATAGACAGTTTCTGAAAAGTTGATTAATTGAAAAATTCAAAATGTTGTTGGGCATTTCCATCTAGCGTTTGTAGGTAGAAGGTTGATTGGTTAGAGTCATATCAATAAGAGATCACCAAGTGTAATATAGTTAGATCTATTGTTTCATGTTCTTACAGACTGCTGAATGTTTACTGCCTTTTTGCTATTCTTTGAATCTAAATGTGTAAATAAATTAGTGATTCTCCTTGGCAGCAAAACTTGGAACTACATAACTCTCTTTTTTTTTTTTTTTTTTTTAAGACAGAGTCTCATTCTGTTGCCAGGCTGGAGTACAATGGTGTGATCTTGGCTTACTGCAACCTCCAACTCGCTGGTTCAAGCGATTCTCCTGCCTCAGTCTCCTGAGTAGTTGGGATTACAGGCACGCACTACCACACATGGCTAATTTTTGTATTTTTAGTAGAGACGAGGTTTTGCCACATTAGCCAGGATGGTTTTGATCTCCTGACCTCATGGTCTGCCCACCTTGGGCTCCCAAAGTGCTGGGATTACAGGCGTGAGCCACTGTGCCTGGCTGAAACTACATAACTCTTTTAATTCTATTCCGAAAGAAGAAACTGGGCAACAGATACTCACTTTTGCCAGTCACAGTGGCTCACTCCTGTAGTCCAGCTATTGGGGAGGCTGAAGCGGGGAGATTGCTTGAGCCCAAGGCTGTAGTTTGCAATGATTGTGAATAGCCACTGCATTCTCCCACGTGACCGCCATAGTGAGACCTTTTTTTAATTAAAAAAAAAAAAAAGAAAAAGTCACTTCTATATGGCCTTTGGTTCTCACAACTGTAAGTTGTACTTGATCAGATCATTAATTCAAACTAGAGGCTGGGTGTTGTGGCCACGCCTGTAATCCCAGCACTTGGTTGGGAGGCCAAGGCGGATGTCACCTGAGGTCAGGAGTTCGAGACAAGTCTGGCCAACATGGTAAAACCTCATCTTTACCAAAAATACAAAAATTAGCTGGGTGTGGTAGTGGGCACCTGTAATGCCAGCTACTCAGGAGGCTGAGGCAGGAGAATTGCTTGAACCCAGGAGGTGGAGGTTGCAGTGAGCCGAGATCGAGTCACTGCAATCCAGCCTGGGCAACAGTGAGACTCTGTCTCAAAAAAAAATTTAGACTAGGAGAGCCTGCAAGGACATAATCCTGTGAGGGAGCTCTCAGACAGTTTGGGTTGGCTTTTTTGGAGTGCAATGGTGCCATCATGGCTCACTGCAGCCTCAACCTCCTAGGCACAAAGCAGTTCTTCTGCCTCAGCCTCCTGAGTAGCTGGAACTACAGTCTCACGCCACCATGCCTGGCTAATTTTTGTATATTTCTGTAGAGACAGGGTTTTGCCATGTTGTCCAGGCTGGTCTTGAACTCCTGAGCTCAAGCGATCATCTTGCCTTGGCCTCCCAAAGTGCTGGGGTTACAGATGTGAGCCATTGTACCTGGCCATCAATTTTTAATTACAAATTATATTCAAATAGATGAAAATAGGAGGGAAAAGAATTTTTAGTATGGTTAGCAGTTTTGATAGGAGTTTTAGCCCATGATTTATCTTAGCTTGGTGGCTGGTATTAAAGTTGCTCTTAAGTGTACTTAAGCATACTAAAATGTTGAACACAATATGTGTTTGATAACAGAATTATCAAGGGAACTGAGGAAAAAAGCACTCATCTTTGCATCACAATATGACATTACTAGCATCTGTTAACTTTACAAACCTGATTCATTCAGTTCTCCACAGCCACCATCTTGATAATGAATAAAAAAAAAAATCGTGTATTTTGTCACTCTATTCATTTGTATCTGTAAAGATTTAAAACAGAACATACCTTTCTTTTGAGTTAGGTTGGTTTTATGGTTGGAAGAAGGAAAGGAGGTAGACCTTTAAATGTCTTGATTGCTGCCCATTTCTCCCAGCAGTGAAGAAAGGGAGCTCTTTAGTGCTGTCTCTGATTATCAAGTGCTGTATATGTGACTATACCTGTGTTGTCTGTGGTGCCGTTGTGAACCCTCACTTGCTTTTATCCTTTCTATTCGTGAGCTCTTGCATTAGAGTAGTTAGTAATAGTTACTCTTTCTCTTGGAGTAATTAAGGTGACATTTCCCTTGTTTGAGATTTAGCTAAGATTTTCATACATAACATATAAACCATGATATATCAGAAAGACTGTATCTGTGGTTCATGAAGACTATAATTTCTAGCTTTGCGCAGTGGCAGTATCGTAGCCAATGAGGTTTATCCGAGGCATGATTATTGCTAATTGAAAACTTTTCCCAATACCCCACCGTGACGACTTGCAATATAGTCAGCACTGGCAATTTTTGACAGTCTCTACAGAGACTGATTTAAAAAAAAAAAAAAAAAAAAGACTAATTTCTTTTCATTTTCATAAATTGTGTGTTTTCAATTGTATGTTCACTCTTTCTCTATATTTTTTAATTAATTAATTTTTTTGAGCTGGAGTCTCGCTCTGTCGCCCAGGCTGGACTGCAGTGATGCGATTTCAACTTGCTGCAACCTCCACTTCCTGGATTCAAGTGATTCTTCTGTCTCAGCATCCTAAGTATCTGGGACTACAGGTGCGTGCCACCACGCCTGGCTAATTTTTGTATTTTTATTAGAGATGGGGTTTTGCCATTTTGGCCAGACTTGTCTCGAACTCTTGACCTCAGGTGACCCACCCACCTTGGTCTTCCAAAGTTCTGGGACTATAGGCATGAGCCACCTTGGCCAGCCTATGTATCTTTTCTGTTAGTGTTCTTAGTTTATACGTTAATTTCTAGGACTCAAGCAAGACAAACTCACTGATAGGAAAGTACTTTAGGTTAATTACAGGCAGCACACACTCGCCTTTGGAGAGAGGGTATTTCCAAATCATTTAATTAAAAGTAGAAGCAAAGCCAGGTCCTTGTTTCTTTTTTTCTTTTCTTTTTTTATGGTGGGGTTTCACCATGATGGCCAGGCTGGTCTTGAACTCCTGACCTCAGGTGATCCACCCACCTCGGCCTCCCAAAGTGCTAGGATTATAGGCGTAAGCCACTGTGCCCGGCCAAGCCAGGTCCTTGTTTCTAGGAGTTTGAGCTTAAGGTATATTTCATCTATTTTACTTTGTGCATTTTGGCAGTGATGTATCAAACTTGATCTTACTCATGCTAAAAGTGTGCAGTTATTTACAGTTTTGATGTGTACCCTCTGAATGTGAAAGTAACAGGCAATTCTTTGAGTTTGCCTTAGTAGTGAAATCATACCCAATGGAACTTGGCACCTGACTTTTGTGTTTCTCTCTCTCTCCCTTTTTTTTTTTTAATAGAAACAAGGTCTCTGGCACCCAGGATGGAGTATGGTGGTATGATTGTAGCTTGCCTTAAACTTCTGCATTCAAGTGATTTCTCTCACCTCAGCTTCCTGAGTAGCTGGGACTATAGGCATGCAAGATCAGGCCCAGCTAATTTTTAAATTTTTATTGTTTTTATAGAGCTGGGCTTTACGGTCTTGCCTAGGCTGACCTTGAACTCTTGAGCTCAAGTG